GCTCCCGCGCAAAATGGTATAAATTTTCCGCTCGAACATGGGGAGATACAAGCCCATAGTTTTTGTCTTTCCTGCATGCCGTGAGTAGAGGGGTATCTGAACGTCGACGCTCAATGCGACCCCCAGCGGAAACGCGCACCGCCAGCCCTCCCCCAAGARACAACAAACTTGCCAAACAACAGGACGCGCGGCCACCCGAAAAAAGAAAAAAACAAACACAAAAAGCCTGTTGAAACGACGCGCGAYGGCCTGGACCGCGCCTACGCTTCCTCCAGCCCCTCTTTTTCATTTTCGTTKAGGCCGCTCCAGGCTCACGACTATTCCCAACACTGGCAGGCGCGTTCTCATGTGGGAGCGTCATGCGAGACCCGCTATTCGCTTAAAAAGAGGAGGGCACACTGAAACCATTTATTTTTCTCGTTCTTCTTTTAACTCCCCCTTCACTGTGCCTGTCACATACAAAGCTCGCCACGTTGATGAAGTTGAGCGCGAGCTTCCCTCATCCCAGTGTGCCATAACGGCCCACTTGTACGCTGTGAGAAAGAGGCAGAGTAAAGGGGGAGAGGATAAACACAGKGAAGAGAGATGGAGAGAAAACAAACAAAGACCGACAAAGGGAAAGTWAGGGAAAATACAGACTGTGGAATGAAGATGAAGGCAAAGGAGAGGATAAGAAAGAGTTCAAGAATGAGTCTGTCCTTGACAACAGAGTGGACATACATTGTGAGGATGAGTATATTTCTCCCTCTCTGCCTACGGTTTACCGGGCAGCTCTGTGTGACGATATATTATATATATATTGTCACATAACTATGAACTAAGGCCGTCCTGTCCAGATTTGACAGGTAATTGAATTGGTTGGGCTTCAAAGAATTAGCCTTAAAAAAAAAAAAAAAAAAAAAAAGAGCGCACTTTGCGAAACAAACTGCAGAAACGAAAAAATAAAAAACAAGACAAACATGAAGGGAACCATTTCATTTTTCTCTCTTCTTTTAACTTCCCCTTCACCGTGCCTCTCACGTACAAGGCTCGCCACRTTGATGAAGTTGAGCGTGAGCTGCCCCCATCCCCGTGTACCATAACGGTCCACTTGTACGACGTGAGAACGAGGCAGAGTGAAGGGGGAGGGGATAAACACAGGGAGGAGAGATGGAGAGCAGACAAACAAAGTAAGGGAAMGTAACGGAAAGCAAGGGAAAGTAAGGGAAAGTAACGGAAAGTAAGGGAAASYAAGGGAAACTAAGGGAAAGTACGGAGTGTGTATATCTATATTGTATATATAAATTATAAATATATGTAAAATTTGTAAATATATATAAAAATATCTATGACAGCACGGTACTCCTGCTGTGCCTCATGTGACAATGATAACTGAACAATACGAGTGCACATCCCGGAGAGTATTGTGTCACTCACCTCGTTCTCGCACAAGTTTGCGGACCCTCTTTGTGATGACCTTCTCATCAAGATCATCTATGTCAACCTCCTTCATCTCCTTATCCGCAAGCTGGTCTTCTCTTCGTCTCCTCCTGGCTACGGCATCCTCTTCACTCACTATCCCCTCCGACTCATCCATGGATAACCCAGCCTGTTCAAAAAGGCGCATCATGCTTGGCTTACGCTTCATTTTCCCTTCCTGTTTCTTGTCATAAATGCCCAGCTCAATCAACCGAGCTCGCACGTCCGCAACTCTGAATCGGCGTCCTGTTTCTTCGGACTCGCCCAGCTCCTTGGCAATCTTTGAAATAGCAGTTTTCTTGAAGCCATAGCTGAGTTACCCCAAACAAGGACAGCCATAGTTTCAACTTTTGTTGAGCTTTCCATCTGAGTGACCCCAAAACAAAGACAGTCACAACTTTACCTTTGTTAAGTTTTCCATCCGAGTTACTCCCGACACAAGGACCATTAGTATTTTATCTATTTGATCTTTCTACATGAGATACCGAAAACAAGGGCAAGATTTCATGTTTTTGAAACCACTACCTGTGAGGGTCTCCTTTTTACAAGAATGGTACAACAAAGTTACAGTATAGGCCTCAAATAGGTGCAGTGGGAGGTGTGGATGAGGGCAAGATAATGGAAGCTACAAACAGTGGAGGCCCACTAAACAACAGGAAGAGAAAAATGAAAAGGTCTCCCACTCAATCTGACCTTTCCCCCCCCAGCATCTGGTGGTCCCCACAAAGGAATTGGAGCGTGTTTTCTTAGAATAATGGGAAAAAAAAATCCGACCTTCTACACAAGAGCATAGCTCAGTGGGTACACCAATGAACTGTTGGAATACAGACCCAAGTTCAAATCCAGATGATGGAACTTGACGAGTAAAACCAAATATTTCTGAATTGCCTGGGGCGGGTCAGCTCAGTGATGATATCTCAAGGTTGTCGCACTTAAAAAAAAAAAAAAAAAAAAAAAAATCCGACCTTTGCCTCTCAGACAGCCAGAAGCCAGTTTGGTACCTGTCACTGCAGAAATCTGCCAGGCTCAGATACAGAGATACTGGTCTAATATTCCCATTTCAGTTACCGCAAGGCAAGGACAGTAACTTTTTTTTTTTTTTTTTAATTGGACCCATGGTTACCGCCCGGACCTCCGGACTGGTTTCCAGACACCCCCAAACATTTTGTAGGGGTCCGGTGTCCGGTACTGGACGTCCGGAACCGCCCCCCTCAGCAAAAAATCAAAAAAAAAAAAGGGGCCGCCAAGGACATTTTTCGGGTCCTCGGCCGCCCCGGAAAAATAGTGGGCCGATTTTTGTGAGTGTTCTCGGCCTACCGGACATTCGTTGAAGGCGGGACCCACCACAGTCTGCAGCAGACTCAGTAGGGAGGCAGGGCCAGCACTTTGAAACTGGCCGTTTTCGAATCTCGCGGGCTGCGCTTTACAGAAGCCACCATCTGCTACCCGTCACGTCCCCACTGCAGCCCGGCAGCCATCGACGAGGAAGCCGCCATCGCCCACGAAACAGCAAGCCGCCGCCAACATCCAAGAAGCAGCCAGCCGCCGGCAACTTCCAGCCCTCGCCGTCGGACCAGCGAGCCGCCGACAACGTCCAGCAGGTCTCTCTCTCTCTCTCTCTCTCTCTCTCTCTCTCTCTCTCTCTCTCTCTCTCTCTCTCTCTCTCTCTCCCCCTCCTCCTCCTCCTTTCTTCCTCATGGTCTTGCTCCGCCTCCTCCTCACCTCCTCTTCCTCATCCATCTCCTCCACATGCTCCGACTAATCCGGGTCCTCCTCATCGCCTCGGGCCTCGTACCCCCCCTGCGCGTGCCATGTGGCGTGAACTTCTCTTCTTCTTTTCCCTATCGAACTGCTCGTTTTCATCCACTTCCGTCTCC